AAGAGACATGATGAATTTGATAAGTTTGATAAGGAAAGGGTGCAATTAAATGCTAAAGCCATAACTGCATTATATTGTGCATTAGATCCCTTTGAATTTGATCATATAAGTCCATGTGTGAGTGCAAAAGAGATATGGCATGATGTAATACCCCAAAATTTCTGGAATTTTTAACATTAAGTTAAGGACCTTTGTGTGGAAAAATATTGTTTTGGGCTTAATAGCCAAAATTTTAGAACTTGAGGGACTTAAAGAGGGAAAGAATTTGGATAAGGATGGCTTCTTTTCTTTTTCTTTTTCCTTCTTTCTTTCTTCTCCAGCCCGCGCGTCTGCTCTTCTTTCTCGTCCCCTTGCAGCCGAACAAAAGAAGCCAGCCGCCGGTGACATTTTCTTGAGGAAAACCGGTAGGAAGCTTGATTTTCTCCTTCTTTTCTTGCTCTAGAACACTTCTAGAACCCAAAAATTTCCCCCTCCTGCAGAGAATTCCAGATCTGCTCGGTTTCTCCCCCTTCCCTGTCCATGAGCTGCAGCTTGTGGGTGCGAATTCTGGGCATTTTTCTGGTAAGAACAGCCATTAAATCCTCTTTTCTCACTTGAATTGCCTTGGGTTTACCTTAATTTCTCTTGGTTCTCCAATTTTTGGGTAGTTTCCGTGAGCTTCCCCCTACACTGCTGCCGGCTTCTCTCCCAAACTGCAGCTCGGTTTTGCTTGCTAAATTATGGTATGTGACAGCCCTTTTAAGGCTTAAATTATTCATTTAGTTTGCTGGCTGTGCTGTCCGAATTTGACAGAAAATTGGGGAGGAATTTCGGTAGCTTTAGGACAAATTTAAGCATTAATTCAAGTGGGATTTATATGATTGAGTGTTAATTCACTGCTATGAGATTTTGGAGAAAATCCCGTGAATTAGCTAGTGTTTTGGCCAATTTATGGAAGTGCAGTTACTGTTTATGGTACTGTTTACGGGCACTGTTCACGCACTGATGGTCAACAATTAACGGGGATTAAATGTTTAGTGTGGAGATTGATAGAAATAGCATCGTGATTAGGGGTGATCCTAATGAAGTTTCACTTTGAATTTGTGATAGTATAGAATTAATTCTTGGAATATTTTGATTAGGTTCTTGATACTTGGGGGTACTTTAGTACGTGGATTGAGTCCTCAGTTTTATGGGAGTGAGGTAAGTAAATTTATGGTAATACCCGTACAGTTTTTAAAAGCATGTTTTGATTTGTTTTTAAAGTGGTGGTGGGACTAAACCCGTTTTACATGAGCATGATTGATTTGAAATAATATTATTATTCTTTTTATTGATTTGAGCATGCCTGCTTGGAGTTTATTCGACTGCCCTGATGATTTGAAAGTGAATGTGAATTGTGATTTTTCTGTTAACTTCTGCCTGTTTTGTCTCCGATATGGTCATGTTATTCGTGTGCCCGCTAGTGGGAGGTTTATAAACGCTAGTACATGTTGACATGTTACTGATAGAATCAGTTCATTTCTGTTATCTTGCTAGTGGGATTATACACTAGTAATTTTTGTAGCTTGTCAGTGGGAGGTTTATAACACTGGCCGTGACCTATAGAGGAGATGTCTATTTCGCTCCCGTACTGTATCCGTTTTCATGATTACACTTGTTGGCATGCTAT